AAAATGCTCATTGAGTCAGCTGTTACAAAAATGGCTTTTTCTTTTCCGTTAGCTTTTCCGAATCAACGAAGCAAATCAACTCATGCAGTATGATCAGTGCTTAACTAAAGGACCAGATGGATCCAAAATTATGATTACACACTGTAATCAGAATGAATTCAAGGAGTGGCAGTTCTTCAAGGTATGCAACAGATATATGGAAGAAAATAAATTTCTAGATTTCATACTGGGTTTTTTGCACCTTTAAAAGATTGTTTTATGTATACCTGGAATATAAGGATCTATGACAAGGTTAACCAAATCGAGTAAATTGTTAATGGCACATTCTCAGAAATACATGCCTGCTAGAAAAGCTTCCTCTAGTGAAAGATCTTTTTATTTAGTGACTCTGCTGTCTTCTGTAGCAAATTCTTTAAAGAAAACTCCATAGGCTACAGTTGTTGCCACAGAGATATTAGGAGCTAGCATATGACTCAGAGGAAGCAAAGCACGTCCACTACTAGTGAGAAGACTTTATAAAAGCTTTTAGTGCCTTTACCCTCTCTGCTTGTATGCTCTGTATCAAGAAAGTCTCTTTACTTCTCTTTACTATATGCTGTGAGAAAATGGCTTAAATCCTGGAGTGCATTTAGAAGCTAGGGTCAGTATGGGTCTCATTTTGGGCAGTCTAAATTGAAGTGTTTCTCTGTTTAAAGACTGAAGATATTTTTCAGCCTACATAGAAGCAGTTAAACATAAGATTACTATGCCTTTTTGTATTGTCTTTGTCTTCTTCAGTATTTCACTTCCTGTTCATTAGACATTCTCTAGAAACAGTAACATGCTCTGTTCTTAATCCTGGGTGTGGTGCTGTTACAATGCTATTGCAAAAACTATAAATTTTTAATAAGGACTTGGAATCTTGGCTGTTGTACATGTGAGAACTGCTACAGTCTATTTAGTCATTACATCTGTAAGTCCTCTATTCATATAAGCTTTGTTAGTGTTACTTTAAAAATATCTAAGTTTCTATTTCTGTTTGTCTCTAAAAAGTGAGACTGAATAGTCTAAGGGTGACGTTATCCTTGGATATAGCCACATATAACTGGGTTCTACATCTAAGAAGCTATTCCATGTCAGTTTTTCTTCAGCTTATATAGCTAGCATATTGCATATTTATTAATTCATTAGCTGGCTATCCGGATTCTTTGTTGTTTGTCTAAAAGATACAGGCACAGTTGAGTGCAGTGAAATCTATTTGTTATCCTTTAAGCCACTCCACAATTTCTAGTGTTTGCATAGAGCTAGGAAATACCAGGTGCCATAATGCCATTTCCATCCAGCTCAGCTTCCCTGTGCTGGATAGACAGACAAATTTCTTTAAACCTGAAATGTAAAAATCAATAAGCAGTGGCAGGTAAGTGCCAACTTCACCTTTAATATTCAGCAGAATAACACACAGCAGTTTTTAGCTCTCCAGCCATTCTAGCATGTCCCAGCATGTTACTTGGCTTCTCTCTAAGAATCTCATTTATGCACCATCCATTTCCTCTACACTAACACCAGCTCTCAAATTGTTTGCTTATTACCACAAGTTATAAGGAAGCCCAGTAAGCGCAGTCTGGGCTGTAGAACAAAACACTGACTGGCTTCTAGAAGGAAAAAAAAAGAAGGGTGAGAATGAAAGGACCACCAAGGGTGTGTAACCAAATACTGAATTGGGCACACTGCTGTGCAGTACAGAGGCTATAACTGTTTCTTCTAATGGCAAAGGTGTAGGAATGAGACCCTTATGGACTGTTGAAAAATCTTGTGGCCTTGTGTAAATGAAGGCTGCAAGGAGATTTTATCTGTTTGGTCAGTTGGCTGTCTGACACAGTGTGCCAGTTTGTAACATGTGCTGCTTGATCACTGAGCAGGAGCAGGGCTTCAGTGCCACTAAGACCAGGGCTGGTGGCAGTCTGCCTGCTGCTTTTGTTAGACATAAATTTTCTCTCCAGCCAGAGGTCCTCCATGTCTGGCCATAGGGCAGGAGCCAAGTATTGATGTGAACCAACATTTGGCTGTGCACATGTGTGTGGGGTGATGGATAGGCTCCCCATGCCGGGGGTATCTGTGTGCACGGGGCAGGGCTGCAGAGCCCCGGCACAGCCCCAGTGCCATGGATTTGCTTCTGCTCCCTTCCCCTCCACACTGGATGCAGCCAGTCAGCCAGCCAGGGCTGCCTCTGGCACGTGAGGTCAGCAAGAGGGAGAGGAGCCACAGACCAAACACTGGAGACTCGAGCACAGGGGCATGGTGGGTGTGAAAGGAGACAGATGTGCGAGAGATGCACTTGGCACAGTAGGTTTGCACTTCCTTAGGCAGCCTCCTGTTGCTCCAGAAGCCATACTTAACTAACTCTTTACTCTTCCTTCTGCCAGCCAAACAGGGAGCCAAGTTAGTACTTTTTTTACCCCTGTGTGGTTAATGTTGGTGTCGTGCAGCTGCTCTCTGTGAGGGCTTACTGGAGGAGGGCCTGCCCCGTGAAGTCCTCATAGAGCTGTCCTCAAAATCTTTTGGTTTGCTTACAGGATAGATGAAAAGGCTAGAAGCACTTTAGAGAGAGTTTTGCTCATTTTCTTAGCAGTTTGTTGCCTAAGAGAAAGAAAATGTTAAAAAAAAAAACCAACCCAATCAAACAAAAATAAACCCAACACAAAAACCCAACACATTTTCCTGGTGGTTTTGTCTTTCAGAATCTGCACAGATTTACTCACATTCCATCAGGGAAGTGCTTGGATCGCTCCGAAGTCCTCCATCAAGTTTTCATTTCAGAGTGTGACTCCAGTAAAGCAACACAAAAATGGGAAATGAACAACATCCTTAGTGTGTAGACAGACAAAACCTACCTACTGACGCATTCATTTGTACAGGACTGAAAAAAGCCTGAAAACTGCTGCAGTTATTAACTTTGTACAGTTGTGAGCCTCCTGGCTTGGATGAAGGACATAGAGGAACTGTGATTATTACAATAACATTATCATCCGCAGTTAATGTTTACAAAACTGCTTTACCTTAAACTCTGTAGATGTTTACATCATTTTGTTTCAAGATGTTGGTAAATTAATGTGCTGTTAGCTATGGTTCATAGGAACATAGTTAAAAGCGTTGTCGTCTTCTTTGGGATTACACTCAGGGGTCTGAAGGCAGTTTTTTTACACACACTTGAAAAGGTTGGAGTAATCAGATTTTCATAGAACTTGGTGATTATCAACCTGTTGTATATTTTTATTTAATTTTACATCTTACTAAGCACTGCCACAGGTTATTAGCCAGGGTGGCCTTCTCTCACAGTCATGCTGCTTTTTTGGAAGATGAATTTCGACGTATTTAGTGCCTCTTTCATTTCTCTCTTTCACAAGGAAAGCGTTTGTTGGAAATCTACAGTGGGTTGTTCTGAGCTGTCACCAGGGGTAGGGACCAACCGTGCCACCCCATGTAATTACTGTGCTAACAAAGACAAATTTCTATTGCCAGTTTGGCTGCTCTGCTTCAGCCAAACGCTTGGTACAGTGGAAGGAAGACTGTAGAGTTTAGTGCTATTGTGGTACAATTTGATGGAGGTAAGCACCCTCATGAATCCAGTTAAGAATTTATAAGCATTAATTTGCTTGTTTAAACCATGCCTTACATAAAAATAATTAAAATAAACAAAGCCAACAAGAAAAACAAACGAGCTACACAATTATGTAGAACTTGGAAAGAATCAAATACTTCATTTATACTGCTATTTTGAATGAACATCACTTAGAGGTGGACTAAAACTTGTAATTAGGAAAAAAAATCCACATACTTAACACATCTGCATAATTTGTCACAAGGACATCTGTCAGCCAGTTTGGATACCAGATTTAGATTCAAAAAGAGAAATGGAAATCCTGTTTGTACAGTTGTTCGTACTACTTTTCTTGTTATTTCTGTCATTTACAACTTCTCCCGAGGGATTACAAACCTAACTGCTTGGTGCTATAGTGCTCAGAGTAGAATGTGAAGAAGTTGTTTCTAAAAATGTTCTGGAAAGGAGTTGATGTGAGATCCCTTAGGAGTATAAATATTTACTCTGAATGAATAGAGAGGTGGAGAGGAAATGACTTATCCTCACTTCATTTGTCCAGATTTTGTGACTTAAATGTTGACATCAGTGTACTGATTCCATAACAGTTATCCCTATAACACATCACACGATTAAGTATGACTAAATACTTCCCTGAAGTCTAGAATAGCATTGCATGCAGCTTCCGTTGATGTTAACAAGGGTTATGTATCATATTTGGTGACAGAGTTGGATCTTAATAGATCTGTCTGCCCTGATCTGTTAGTTTGGGATCTTTCCTAGTTTCTTTAAACTTCTCATCTATACTTTCAGAGCTATGAAAAGTAGAAAATAAAGGGGGGAGAAACTGGGAAAAAAAAAAAAAAAAAAAAGGAAAAGAAGGTTTTGTGCCAGTACTTGTTCCTTGTGTGTGTGAAAACTGACTCCATTTGTGTGTTGGGTAGATTAATTTAATCATACAACTATGCATAAGAGAAAGAATGGTGGCACATAAATTGTGCGGGTGTGCATTTTAAATGGGTATTATGTGCAATTCATTGAAAGCTGATGCTGTATGTGAATATGAATCTGTATGTGAGACTGAAACCTTACAAAACATGAGATCATAAAAAGCTGTTGCTGTAATGACTTTTTCCTACTATAGCCGGCTTGGAAAAAAATAATTCCCATATTCTTGCTTTGTAAGTTGATGATAATGTCACTATGCATTTCTACATATTTTATAAATTTGATTTATGCAGATTTTGATACACTGTATGTTTCTGTAGAAATTGTATAAATCTTTAAAAAATTTATTAGGGATAAATCTGGGAAACCTATGTATATCTTACTCATGGGTTGCTTGTTTTTTAGGTGAAGTAAATAAAATATTTGAATTTTTTTGTTTTACTATACTTTCACAGAGTAAAAATGGATTATTATCTTTATAGAAACCCACATATATCAAAATCTAGAAAACTTCAGCGTTAGAAACCTACAAATATTACATTTATTTAAATTTTATATGCAACAACCTTTTGTTGCACCTGTGAGAACTCAGGTTTTTTTCCAGTGAAATGAAAACTTAAATTCCCACTGACAACTGCCACATGGACATACTTGGATTTTTGTATCATCTGCCCTGATATAATTTGGTAGATTTAATATGCTCATAGAAAATGAACTTGAAAGTAGAACCAAAGGTCAGGTGTAGTTTGTAGTTTTTTTACTGTCTTATCTTAGTTCATTTATGTTTCCACCAAGAAACATGTTTCAATCAAACTTTTTTTCATTTTTTCCTGGGAAGGTTCCTTAGCAAAGGAGGATGTCATTAAATCAGGGCATGAAAGACACAAGTTCTAAGAGTGAACCTAAGTGGTGAAATCTACAGGTATTTTTAAAAATGGGATTCTCAAGGGAAAACTAATCAGCAATGTTTCTGTTTTCTGGTTGTTCTCCTTGCTATGAAAGGCATGAGAATACCTTGCTGTGTTCTGAATTCTTGTCCTGCTTACTTTTATGAGAATAATCTGAGAAGTGTCAGTGGTTATCTTCCAGGGTAATATGTACTTTCAGGGAACATCAGAACTGGTTGCCAGCATTTGGTCCCCTGACTATTGACTTTACTTACCCTGCAAGCCTACTCTGAACTCCTGCAGTGTTAATGCAGTAAGTTAGTAAATTGTGCAGCTTGGCTGGCCCTATATAAAAGGACTCTCTACATAGAATGAATCTGGTTAGAAAAAGTGATAGGCTATCAAAAAAAAATGTAAGTGATTTTGGCTCCCTTGGGTTTTGAATAATACCCAAACCAAGAACTCTAAGTGACCCCTGAAGTCTGACACCAGTTTGGCCCTCCTGTCGTGGGGAGCCTCACTCACTGCTGCCTCAGGTGTGTGCACTGGTGTGAGCTGTCTCCCTCGCCACTCCCTCAGCTGTGGGAACTGCAGAGAAGTGGGAAGAAATGTTTGTGTGGATTTGACATCCCTGTAACCCAGGTAATGGTAAGTAACCTTTGTTTTTTTAAATCTTAAAACTCTAACCTGTTGTTTATGTGGAGGAACTAATGGAGTGTTCTCCATGACCACGTAACATGGGGCCTGGTAATATTAAAACTAAGGTGTCTGCACAGCCCTTGGAATTTGTACCTCATTGCACTGCTCTGTGGCTTTTCTGAACAGCAGTGTGGATAGAGACTCTCCAGCAAAGCAGTGGTCTGTGGTGGCTGGTGGGTCTGAACTGGCTGGTGAAAAGTGCATGTTCCTTCAGTCAACGGGTCAATGAAGGTGACACGCATCCAAGGCTGTAAGGAGGAGTTGGAGCTGCTGAAACACCAAGATGAAAAGGTTTGTTTGCATGTTAGAGCCTTACTTTTTCTTACTAATATGCTTCACAGAGAAGAAACACAATTGTTTCAGGGACAAGAACAGTGTCCTCTCTGAAGTGGAGCGCAGCTAAAGTAGGGCTGAGAGCTGCATGTGTCCAGCAGCTCTTGTGAATGCAGTTGTTCAGTGTGAAAGCTGATCTGCCTCCAGTGATCTAACATCCAAACAACTCTGTGATGTTTCTCGTGCAAGAGTAATGACTCCTGCATTAAAAAAAAAAAAACAAAAACAGAGAGGTAAGAGAAGCAGCACAGCTCTAACTGATAATAAAAAACAAACTAATGCCTGAGATGAGCATGATGGCAATAGCAGCCTTCTGGTTGAATGTCCCTGGGAAAGGGAAAATGAATGGAGAGGTGATATTTTACTTCCCTGAAAAGGGCTGCTGGTGGCAGTGTGAGTCAACTAAGGCAGCATGCCCAGACTGCTGTTAAACTACAGCCTTCAGATGAAGCAGCACAGTTTGGAATGGGCTTTCTGAACCACGTGAAGGCACTGAGGTGGAAATAGGAATCAAAATACAGCCATTCCCCTTGAAATGTGTGGGAGGATTTCCCCAGGAAAATAAAGTAGGACAGTATCTTTCTAGAAGCCCTGACATTAGACAGGAGTAGGTTTTTGGGTACAATGTCTTCTGAATCATCAGTGTGTGGGGGTGCACATTCCCTGAGTTAGACCTGGCATGGGAAACAACATTAGCATTTTTGGGAAACAGCTGGGCCAGAGCCATGGAGACTGGTACTGGCACTTCTGAGGGCTGCTGGTGAAAACACCCCACTGCAAGCTGATGAAAACACTTCTCCATACAGCCAGGGACTTTGTCCCACTGTGTCATTCTGCACAGAGACCCCGAGCCCTGCCTGGCAATGCAAGCTTTGCCAGCCTGAGCCTGTGGGGAGGCTGCAGCACCTTGCCAGAGCCCTCAAGGCCATCACAATTGCCCAACAGACAGCTACAAATGCAGTTTTTGTGTTTTATTTCTGAGACAGCAGAAACTGTGGAAGAAAGTAGAACCAGATGAAAGTAGAAGCCTTCTGGAAGATTCCTGTGAGTTCATAAGCAGAGATTTGGGAAAAGCTGACCAGGAGAAAAAGCATGCCCAGCTCTGGAAGGGCTTCTGGTCATGCTGCTCTTTTGATTGCAGTGAGAAATGAAGTCCTACATGCCTTGAAGATGCCAAGGAACCTCTAGAGATGCAGCTAATCAACCTGGCAATGGAGAGGAAAGCTGTCTGTCCTGCTGTCTGGGAGAGAAGGTAAGATGGTGTGGGGTGTTGCTGCGGAAAACAATTCTGTAACTGTTGCAGAGTGGGGTCTGGTTACTATTGATACTAACACTATTAAAGTAATATTGAATGTGCCATTTCCACTTGGACATAAGAAACACTCCTGGGGTTTTGGGTTGTTTTTTTTTTCCCTGCAACATTATCCCATTATCTTCCAAGTCATTATGAGAAAAATGGTGTCCATGTTCCAGAATTATCATGGGCAAGCTGAAAAATATTTTGAGTTAGGATAAGAACTGAATGTAACATTAAAACATTAAGCACATCCAAGATAGGATCAAAAGCCCAGGTAGCACAGAAGCCTGTCTCAGGTCAGAGGTCAGAAGGCTCAGTGCAGTCAGAGTGCAGGGCAGAGTGAAAGGATGCAAAGATGCTTGTCTAACCTTGTCTCTGCTTCTGGCACTATATAACTCCAGCACTTTCTGTCTAGAGATGGTATTTCTATTTAATAGTATAGAATTTGTCCAACTGCTGCTTCAATCTAGGCAGACTTTAGTCACATGTCATCTGATTTATGCAAATAGTTTTAAGGTTTCTTCAAGGTAGCAGCACTGACAATAACATCATCAAGGGCTCATTTTTCAAAGAGCCTTTCAGAATGTTGTGGTCTTGTCTGTACAAACATCATCCCTCCAGCTCTGCTGAAGAAATTATTTATGGGTACAAACTTTACCACTAGATGTTTAGGCCGGGAAATACTGACAATAGCCATACAACTTAGAGGTGGAACACTGGATGCACTTAGCTATAAAGGTTTTTCTGGTAGTTGACTTCATATTCAGTCCTGGAACATCAGGAGCTTCTCCAGCACTGAGGCTAAGGGAGATAGTTGATTTCAGGATGTCAGGATAATCAGAGCAATGTACAGATTCTCTTACTAATTAGTGCTGGCCTGTGACAATTAAGTAATTTGAGGAATTTGTGTAGGGAGTCATCTTTTTTATCAGGTAGATCTGAATCTTATGTTATTCCAGAGTTAGGAGACTTAATACATCCCTGAAGTGCTGTGTGCATTGGAGAATGCAGCAGTGAGCTCAACATCTGGGCTCTGTTATGGGATTCTTGACACTGGATTCAAATAGGATCACGGAAAAGCAGACGGGTTGTGATGAGGCTCATACAAGAGGCCAAACAACTTTTGGAAATGTGGAGCTTGCTGGCCAAACACTTAGCAGTTTCAGGATGTGTAAAGAAATAGAAGCCAAAATGAGGAAACAAACAAAAATAAATCTGTGCTAAGGCAAGTGAAGTGGGATCAGCAACAGTCACCACCACAGTAAACAGTCCATCACTGAACAATATGTACTAGATTATGTACCAGTGTTATACACCAGATGCCTACAATACTGTTATGAAAAAGTTCCATACATCATTGGCTAATCAAAGGTAGAACTCCTATTTTATTTTTTTTCTGTTTTTCTCTCCACGATCATTTGTAACTGCATTAGTGTTCTAGGAGTTTTAAAGCCTATCTCTACTGAAGTCAGTTCCCAGGTCTGTAGCTGCTCTAATCAAGACATACACACACACACATACACGTGCACAATTTCAGTTTTCCAGACCATAGGTTTAGCTTTGCAAAAACAAGACCAGCTTTCTAAATAGGTTTTGTTCTTCGATGACCTAAGAAAAAGGAAACCTTATATTCCTCTAGGAAAATGATAAGGTAATACTGAACATGTGTTTTGTTTGTAACTCTTTTACCTGATAACACCTTACATGCTATTTGCTTTTCTAGCAAACATTCATTATGTCTTCACAGAATTATGTTACAACTCCAGCAGCTCCTCCAGACTACTGTAATATTACCCCATATTACCCATAACTTGAATGTTAGGCCTGCTTTTCCCCCTTCACATGTGATAGGGGAACACATATTAACATGTGATACAATTTGTACTAGCACCATATTTCACCTGTTGGTTTTACTGTTCTGTCACTTCAGGCTGCAGGCTGGCTTTGCAGATCTTCACTGTTAGGTCTTGTTATTCATGCAAGATCTTCCATGGTGACTTATTTCTTTTATAAGAAGTAGATCAGAAAAGCTCAAGTAGACCAAAACTACCCGATCTCCTTTACCTTAAGGTTCGCAGATTACTTTGAGGAATATTTACAGCTCTATGGAGTAGGATTTCCTCTTGTGAAATCACAAGTTCTATTTGGCCATTTGTCCAGCAGCTCTTAGCTGTACTGCGGCTCCTACCGACTTGTCATGTGGACATTACTGGTCTGAAGCTCTCTGCTTCTCCACAGAATGTTTTCTAAAAATTAGTGTTGTATTTCTGACCTTCCATTCATCTAGCACTTAAGACAGTTTTAAGTGAAAAAAAAAAATAAAGTATGGTTCAAAGTTCAGCCATTTCATCGCTTGAATTTCCTTAGAACTCTTGGATGAATACCATCTGTCCTGTCATTTTGTTTCAAGTTCTTTTACACTTGGATTTGAGACAGATGCTTCACCACGCCTCTTCCATTAAAAAATTTTGTCATGCAAACTGCCTGAAACTCCCCCTACAAGGTTAAAAATTTTCTTCTGGGCATTGCTACTGTATCTTGAGCATCCACTGTCCCTAGGACAGTCTGGCAGCCGTCTTGGTTCTGTGGATGCACAGGCTTTGGATGAGTTAATTTTCTTCCTAGTGGCTGGTATGGTGCAGGGTATTGCATTTAGGGGGAGGATAATGTTAACACACTGATGATTTAGCTGTCACTCAGCAGTGTTTACACTTCATCAAGGACTTTTCAGCTTCTGATGCTCCCCTGACAGCGAGGAGGCTGGGGATACACAAGAAGCTGGAAGGGGACACACCTGGGACAGGTGACCCCCACAACTGACCAAACTTGGCCTTTAATCCTATGGTATTTGATACCATAAGAGTCAGCATATAACTAGGATGAAAGGCTGAAGGACACTCTTTGGAAACTAGCTGGGCATTATTTGGTTGTTTTTTATTTGCATCATTTACTTTATTTCTCTTTTTATTATTCTCCTTTTTAGTATAATTTATTAATTTTATTATTTTATTTCAATTATGAAGCTGCTTCTATACACTATAACAGGGAATTGTCTCTAGATGGAAGAATTTCTGAGTTAAGGAAACAAGGTGCTGTAGCACTCCAAATTCTACAGCAAAAAAATATTCTGGAGGTGCTGTGCACAGAATCACTGCCCCTTACTTCTAGTTTATGCCTGTGGCTTCATGAAACCTGAGCCTGAAAAATGGAGCCATTGATCTCACCTGTGCCAAGTGATCTCTGGCAGGTCCAACATGTAAAACAGCAGTTCATCCTTCTGATGCTACTTAAATATCTCAGGGGAGGAAAAAGCAACTCCGGGTTTCTAAGGCTCTCAAAGATTAACACCTACTCCAGTATAAAAATGTTTGAATTGCCTTTACAGTTACTTAATTTCCATGCTTACAAGAATATACAAAGTGTTTTTCTCAGGCCTCTTGTTCCAGAATGTGCTATGTTATCTTCGACCTACCAGTGGCATTTACCATATTAAAGTCCTGAAAACACTTTTCATCTTACACATAGTACAACGATGGGACACAAATTTACTTCATAAGCTAACGGACAATAGGGAGGCATTTTAAACAAAATCTTGGAAGCCTGCCCTTTATATTACTTAACTTTTTAGACATTACACATTTCAGGGCTGGGCTTTCAAGGGCTAATAAAAGTTATTTCCTGGTATTTAGCTCAATAAATTAAACCTAAGCTATTTACTTCAGCTGTAGGATCTCAAATTCCCCGGTTGAAAATATTGCTAGGTATCTAGATTTAAGCCTTTTTACATAGTGAAGTAAAATAAAAAGTGAAAGCAAACAAGTCGAGTAACTGGTGACACTGTTACAACACCACAAACAGGAATGTATCAGGAGCACTTGTTCCTTACAAGTGCCTTCTCCTTCTGCAGCGTTCTACTGGCATGTGTGGAGATAACATTCCAACATTTTTCATGCTGTTCTGCAAGCTGTGTATTTTATGAGAAGCCACTAAAACTGGAGCCAGGGGGAGAAGGAAGGAGTAGGCAACATCTGGGAAGACATGCCTCTAACACATCTGTCTTACAGCCAAGGCCAGTGACCCTTGACCTCTGGAAGAGAAAGTTCCAAACACTCACTCATTATCAGCTACCATGCCAAAACAAAGACCTGTGCTGCAGCAGTCTGGGGAAAGAAGATAATCCAGGAGTCATTACCAAAAACTTCACTACTTAAGATTTTTTTTTTTTCACCCACAAGGTAACACAGGCAAAAGCTACTGCACGGAAAGCATAATTTTTAACTAACTGTAGTGGATGTGGGAGAGGAAATCAGTTTAAGCAAAAGCTCCAGGAGTCAATGCCTAAGGGACGTGCCAGTTTTGCAGTAACAGCAAGAGCCTAAGAACACTGTATCCCACACAGGATTCCAGCATTCTGGGGGTGCCCAGCCTCTCAGAAACATCATGAATACAAAAAGAGTCATGTACAACATTTTATTACAAAACTGTTAAAAAAGTAATACAATGCAACAAAATACTACAAAATATAAGATCAGCTATTAAGCTACCTTTGTTTTATTTAGCTAAAAAGAAACACCTGGCTATCAGTCACTGAATTTCAACAAAACCATTAAATACGCAGAAACAGCAGAAACATTCAACAACTTTTTTTTTTTTCCAAACCGAACTGTAGCAGCCCTTGGCTACTGCTTACATTATAAATTGAAGTCTCCCTACAAAGAGCCACATTACCTATACACAATTCTGTACAGATTTTTATACTGAAGTTAACCATGAGCTGCACTTGAGTTCACATTCTTATCAAAATATTGGATTCTCAGCATAAATCTTTACAGCAGGACATTCATTTATTCTTCATCCTCATCTTCTTCCTCCTCTTCCTCCTCCTCTTCCTCTTCTTCCTCCTCCTCCTCTGGTTCTGCTTTCTTCTTAGATCCTGCAGGCCTACCAGGGCCCTTTTTTCCTGCATCACTCTTGCTCTTGGCACGATATGCTGCAATATCCTGCAAGAAAAG